CGCTCAGCAGAACAGGATGATGCCCCTGATAGAAGCGGCCATCATTGACTTGTGCGGCAGCAGAAGCACCTTGTTCCCTGAAAAGATGCTGATTGCGGACTTGGGCTGCTCTTATGGCCCAAATGCGCTAGCACTGGTATCGACTGCCGTCAAGGCCATCATCAACCACTGCCTTCAGTTCCAGCAACCACCACCCGAAGTGTGTGTGCTCCTCAATGACCTTCCTGACAATGACTTCAACACGGTGGTGAAGAGCCTGGCCACGCTCCGTCAAAGTAACAACAAGCTCTTCACTAGTGACTCCTTGCATCTTGTCTGCTCGTCCAACAGCTTGCATTGGCTCTCCATGGTGTGAATTTATCACCCTTCAATGGATCTATCCATTGCATTACTTGTTGATTTTGTAAAAGAAACCTTATCCTCGCAGGCTCCCGAAGATCTGACGATGAACCAGATCCCTGCGTACGACATGGATGAACATGCTAGGCGTGAAAGACTCCCTATGGTCCGTGAGGCTTATGCACGTCAGTTCAGGAAACATTTCATACTTTTCCTGGAGCTGAGAGCCAAAGAATTGGTCCCAGGAGGCCGAATGGTTGTTTCCCTTGTAGGGCGGCCTTCTAATGTAAAAGCCTCCAAATTCTTTCACCTTTGGGAAACCTTAGTTCAGATTCTAAGTGTCATGGCCTTAGAGGTACATTTTTTTTTCTAGTATTGCATTTTATCATTTTCGAATGAACGTGTGAGTATTTGAACTCCTGATCTTATGGTATGGTTGACAGGGTGTGATCGACAAAGCGAAGTTTGATTCTTTCTATGTGCCGGTGTATGGACCCTCTGGTGAAGAGCTGAGGGAGATCATCCAAGACGAGGGCTCCTTTTCTATCAGCGATATGCGGGTATATGACGCTGCAACTGATATGAACAGCATGCTCTTCACCCCAAGCTCGTTTGTGAATTATCTGAGAGCCATATTTGAGCCGATAATAGTCGAGCATTTTGGAGAGGTCATGGATGAATTTGTGAGGACCGCGGAGCGGCGCTGGAGCCTCGAGGGCAGCATGCAAGACGAGCGTGCTAGAAATCCACGAGCTATGCTGGCTGTATCCCTTGTAAAGGCATGATTATCAGGTACTTTATAGTACACCACATTTGGTTAGGTTTATTGCTTTATTTGAGGTGACAATGTGTGCCAACTTCATTGTGTAAACTACATCCTGTATGGTGTTCTGTGAAGATATTCATCGACGCTCAAGAGATTAAGAATGAACTATCATTTATATATATTAGCAGAATGTTGTTGCCCACCAACTTGCTCAGCTAGCTATGCCTACAAAACATTGTGATGTACTCCCTCCGTCCGAAAATACTTGTCATCAAAATGAACAAAAGGGGATGTATCTAGATCTAGATACATCCCCTTTTGTTCATTTTGATGACAAGTATTTTCGGACGGAGGGAGTATTGCGCATGCAAATTCTGCCTGAGTTTGTGTCTTGTATCTGTTTTAGTAACTGCAATGAGATTGAAGAAGACGGTAGATCAAAGTACCGATCACCCCTACTAGTACTGCTCGCCGTATGATCCATATAAATTATGTGATGCTCCAACTTTAGTGAATGTTCTTATCACAGAAAGATCTAGAAATTCACAGAAGTTGATCTAGGACTAGGTGCACTTGGTCTGGGCTAAGCTAAACCAATATGAACATAAGCTAAATACACTCACAAGTTCGAATGGCAAAAGCAGAACCAGATTGCTAAAAACAAAAGCAAAAGGAGAACTGGAAGTAGGACTTGGATCGGCTCGACTGCCCGCCACCAGTCTGATGAAATGCGGCGTACCCTCCTCATGGCGGAGTCGCTTGTGCAGGTCACACTGATGGATTGTCTTGTGCAAGAAGTTCTATTGCCTGGCAACATGGCCTTGTGGGGATCCGATTTGGATGGACATGTCGTTGACACACTGTTCTGGGAGAAAGATAGATGGATGGTAGTGTCCAGGCGTCGAGCCGAACACACCTGTCTGCCGTCTCTAAGGCTTTGTACCCTGTTACTTACCTCTTAAGAGGTTGAGCAGGTCTGTTGGTTCATGGGAGGGTTACAGGAGGATGTTCAAGTAGGTACTCCCTCCGTCCCAAAATTCTTGTCTTAGATTTGTCTAAATACGGATGTATCAGTTGGAGGAGGTCTTAAGGCAACGTACAGGGTCTTTAATCTGTGATGTACCAGCGCCTCTCTCTCTCTGAGTTCTTCAAGTCTGGGCGCATCTATGGGCATTCCTCTGCTAGCTTTGTTTCTTTGTCCCGGCAATGGAGCCTGTGAGCTACGCTCGTCGCATCACTTGGGAAGGCATGGCCAGGTAACTGCTGTTTTTCTACTTGTTGGGTTTTTGTAAGGTACACCCCATTTGATGAGAACAATTAGTTTCCTTCGATCTTTATGCTTGGTATGTAGAATGCTGACCTGTGATACCCCTCTTAAGAGATAATAGTGCATCTTGACATTTCAAAAGGTGGCTATGAATGCATGTCAACTTTCATACGGCACAAGCAGTTTTGAATGAACTGTCATTTATATCCATTGGAAAATGCTGCGGCCCAAGAACTGAGTCAACTAGCTAATTACATGTACAAAACACTGTGATGTTTGACTTCTTCAAAGGTTAAGTTATGTTGGTCAGTTAACTGCTCGAGATTGTAACACTTACTCTCTTTTTTGTGGCAAAACAGTCGTAACGTGTTATTTATTTCCAAATATTCTATTCGATCAGGAGATTAGGAATGAAACACAGACAAAAACTTACAAGAGATTGGAGGGAGGATAACAGCAGAAACAGAACTGAAACTAAGTGCTCAGACTGCTTGAGATTGTAACACTTATTCTTAGTAGTCAATAGAGCTCTCTTTTCTCACGGAAAGATAACAATTGTGTTGTTTGTTCATGTAGCTCCTTAGTAATAGCACGTAGTTAGTCTTGGTGATAATTGACGGTTTGACACTACTGTAATATTCACTGTGTGATCCATGACAATATTTGAACACTCCAATTTATTGTTCTTATTCAGTAAAGCCCTTGGTGTTTGTGGTAATGCTAATAATGTACTGGAATTATGGTAAAAAAATGCTGGAAGTTCGATTAATATTCTGTTGCTATGCGCAACTGGAAGAGCCAGCAAAATTTAACCATGTCAAATAACAATTCTGCTGGTCTAAACAAATATCCTCTCTAGTAGTGACAAGTTCTTATTCTAGCTGGCCCTAATAGTAGTGACTGATAACAGATTGAGAAACACGTTGACATTTTTACCGACCCCAATAAGCAGCCAGAACAGTCATCCCCAGTTGAGCATAGAAAAGAAGAATTGAACTTCCAGTCCAAGTGAAGCCATGGCATCAAAGCAACAAGTCTGCTGGTATAAAACAAACTCTAGTAGTGGCAGGTTGTTGATGTATTATATATCCTGATTTGAATTTTACCTAATCTTTCAGTAAACCTTTCTATTAGCTGTCCCTAATTAAGATTGATAAGCATGTTGACTCCTATCGTTCCACTCAATAGGCAGCCAGAACAGCCTCCTCAGTACGCATAGAAAAAGAAGAGTTGAACTTCCAGTACATCGTTACCATCTCCTTCCTAATCTTGCTCTCTCAGGTTGAAGGTCTCTGGAGGTTAGCCCTGCTGCAACCAAAGCCATGAGTCAAGGCCAAGGGCAAACTAGCTATGCTCCCAACTCCAGCATTCAGGTAAACTAGCTATGCTCCCAAGTCCGTTATTCCGGAATCTCCTGAAATTTGGCTTCAGGGGACTGCCTTGTCAAGAATTTGATCGTAGTATATACTCCATACAGAAAAATAAGATTTTTTTTCCTAGGACATCGCAAGAGATCTGCGTGTCAGTATATTAAGGTAGAGAGAAAAGTTCATTTACAAGAGCTTGGCAGGTATAGGCGCCACAAATTGTCGCCTCCCTGGCCCTACTCCACCTAGAACCCAGCCATCATGATATTACTCTATCTATTCTACCTCTCCCCACCAGACGCCATTACTCTATCTATTCTATCTTATTAAAGGAAAATAAGATCGCTATTATGACAGATTGAACTCGATTTTCTCAAGAAGTTTGTGATAGCGGACTTGGGCTGCTCCTCTGATCTAAAATGCGTTAGCACTGCTCTGGATCACTATCGAGGATTCGAGGCCACCTGCAGCCACTTTCTTTGGTTCCAGCAGACACCTCCGGAAGTCTGTGTACTCCTTAATGATCTCCTAGACAATTACTTCAACACAGTTGTGAAGAGCCTGGTTATGTTCCGACAAATCAACAAGCTTGTTGTTGTAACTGGTGTTGTACCAAATATCATTCTATAAGAGGCTCTTCCCTAGTGGCTCCTTGCATCTTTTCTGCTCATCTAGCAGCCTTCATTGGTTCCAAAGATGTGAGTTTGACACTCCACTCCAACAACCTTCATTCCTTCATTATCTGATTCCTTATCTCTTCTGAGTACCTATGTTGGCACGACTTCGTGCAGGTCCGGGGTGACTGTAGGCACTCGTTGGTCGACAGGGTCTGTCCACACCCGTATGAAAGTGCAGAGAACCATGGAGTTTTTCTCTTTATCCGGAGCACCAGGGAGGAGGAGAAGAATCTGCATCGGCGCTTTCAGGAAGGGTGTACTTCCCGCCATCGCGCTAGGCTTTTGCCTTGGCATGAACTCCTCGCGTCCAGATTTGAGAGATCCAGCGCACCAGTCACCATGACGTGCACCACTCCCTAGCCGCCTATTCAGCAATTTCACCCTCTCTCATTGCTTGCACAAATAGAAGCAAACCAATTGCACCATACTCTTTATAAGCACAACACACCAATGTTTGGTTTAACACAAGGAAAGACAGAAAAATACACCATTATAACACAAACACATCTTGTTTTTGGCATAAACTAAAAACTTTACAGATCCATCAACGATGCCATGAGACCAATCCGGGTATATTCACTGCTTCACCTTGCCGATGGGCTAAATGTGGACACTAAGGCCACGGTATCACTCACCGGGCTTACCCTGACAGCGCTGTCCACACGGGCTTCTTCCAATGCAATGCTCTCCTTCAGCTGTGCCACCACGGCTGCCATTGTTGGCCTTCCGACAGCAGCATCTGCTGTACACGCAATGGCAGTGTCGACTAGTTTCCACATGGAGGTAACCTCGTAGGCACCACCGAGCCTTGCATCGGCGACTGAGGTGATGTTACCTGTGGCCATCTTCTGTTTCATGCGCTGAACAATGTGGCCATGGCCTGGCAGTATCAGAGGCTCGCCAGTAGCTATCTCCAGTAGAACGACACCGAAGCTGTAAACGTCGCTGCTCTCAGTGAGCCTGCCAGTGTGGTAGTACCTAAAAAACAACACATAAGACACATCTTGGTAAACCTAAATTCTGATTACGCACAATATGGAGTATTTATTTCTTTGTTTCTTGCCCTGGTAAACTGGAGTAGTTTACTTCTCCTTATATGAAAAACAAAGTACGCAAACACTATAATATGCACAAAGAGACATACTCTGGGTCAAAGTAACCCGCTGATCCAGCCGCATTGGTTGATATGTGAGTCTGTGTTTCGCTAAGATAGGTTTTACAAAGTCCAAAATCAGCTATTTTCGCCCGCAGATTTTGACCTAACAGAATATTGCTGGTCTTCACATCCCTGTGAATTATTGGCAGGCTGCATCCCTTGTGCGGATAATCCAGGCCTAAACATATCAAGCAAGTCCAGAAAACATGAGTGAAATGAAAAGCAAATAATCTATAGCACATTCTCTTAAGCTAACAATAATCTTTTTTTATTACATCATACCTTGTGCAGCTTCAAGCACAACTCGTACACGTGTTGCCCAGTCCAAGGTCTCATCACCATGTTTTCCTTCATATATGAGCATAGTAATAGTCACTTAGAACAGTGCTGTATGAACAACTTTATAGGTCACGGTTCATACATTTGTGCAAAATTTGTTTGTTTGCAATTCCGTTACGCTCTTGTGCATTGGAATTGAATAAATTGGTTGAGAGAAGGACGCTACTTTATCAGTCAACTGTTAGGACTTTGTAACTTTGTTTGGACGGGAAGTAATATGGAACTGTGACTGTTATCGAAGATTGTAGCCTTTCAAAGGGAACAGGTGTAGTAGCCTCAAACTATTTTAGATACTGAATATCTTAAATCCATTCAAGATAGCCTCTCAAGTTTAAACAATGCATATATAATTTATATCGAATTTTAAGACAGCTACAAAGATCGATCTCTCTTAATCAATACTACTTAGATTTGCAATTAATGAACAAACCTCTCAGATGATCACAAAGATTGCCTCGAGACATGTACTCATAAACCAGTGCTAAATGATCTTTCTCCCAGCAGTAGCCAACCAAAGAAACTAGATTCCTGTGATGCACCTTTGTCAAGCTATGGACCTATGTAAGGAGACAGAGAACAGAGGGAAAATCATCTTAATTTGCATGTAAACTCATTGTGTAAGCGGTTTGCCAAAGTTACCTTTCAAACTGAAATTTTATCAACAAAGGGAGAAAGTACCTCGGCTAAGAACTCATCTAGCCCGTGAGACGATGATTCAGAACGCATCTTGACAGCAACCTCACTATTGTCTTCTAAACGCCCGTAGTACACTAGCCCAAAACCTCCTTGTCCAATGAACCGTTCGAACTTGTTAGTAAATTTTTGCAGCTCCATGTACGTGAATCGACGATTCTCAGTATTTTGCAGGTGATCCCCCTGACTTCTTGTACTTGTGAATCGATGATTCTCAGTATTCTGCAGGTGATCCCCATGACTTCTTGTACTTCCTGGAGCACTCTGAAGCTCTGATTCTTTGGGTGGATCATGTGTACAAACTGGTTGAACAAGTGTCAGTTATATTACAGAAAGACTGAATATAGTAAACCATGATAATAAGTGGATTTAATTACATGATATTAAAAGAAAAGGGAATACACACTTTTGGGCTTTCTCTTCACTCTCCAGATCAAATATGAAAGAACAAGTACAGACACTGCCACCATGGGAACCACTACTGAAATAGATACTATAGCTGTTCTATTTCTTGATGGAGGCGGACTTATTGTTTTGTTGCACATATCTTCTCCAGATTCATACCTGAAATAGTGAGATTACATCAGACAATCAGTTCAGAACTACTTAGTACAAAAAACAATCTTGAATTATCAGCTGCCTGAAGATCACAGAAAGAGATGCATTCAAGTTCAGTTCGAATGCACATTCACAGAAATTAAACCTCAAGAATAAAACCCAAACCTGACAACGAGCGATCCTGCATTCCTTTTACAAAGGGAATAAGGAATTGGGCCATTCAGACTGTTACCGGACAAACCCCTGTAGCAAGTGACATGTACTAGTTTAGACACTCAACGAGGTTCTTATCATCGTAACAACTGCAAACAAATACTCCCTCCGTTCCTAAATATAAGTCTTTGTAGAGATTCCACTATGAACTACATACGGATGTATATAGATACATTTTAAGTGTGGATTCATTCATTTTGCTCCGTATGTAGTCCACCCAGTGGAATCTCTACAAAGACTTGCATTTAGGAACGGAGGGAGTATATCCAAATAAAAGTTCTCTCAAGTGGATCCATTGGTGTTCTTCACTCATGTCTACAGTTAAAAATGATATTATGGACAGAGGATAATCGGATAGAGTTATAAAGGTATTATGCACTTTTATACACTTCCCCTCCGTGCACTAATTATCTGTCAATAATGGAGTGCTATTTGAGTGGGAACATGTTGGTTACGAAGAAGTCTATTACTTTTTGTAACAAATTGTACAAGCCATAATTATACTCAGTATCTAATACTACCTCCGTCCGAAAATACTTGTCATTAAAATGGACAAAAAGGAATGTATCTAAAACTAAAATACGTCTAGATACATTTCTTTTTGTTCATTTTGATGACAAGTATTTCCGGACGGAGGGAGTACTTACAGAAACTGGAGGTCTGTGAGAAATGTGAAGTTATCAGATACCAATCCAGTCAAGTTACTATTGGAGAGATCCCTGCATGAAAATTAACATTCCAACATCAAGTCGAAGGCCATATTTGCACACGCAACATGAAAGACCATCGAAATAGTACTTACAGAGATATTATTCTTGTAATGTTTTCAGTTAAGTCGCTACATTTCACGCCATTCCATCGATATTTGGCCGGAAAACATGGATCACCCATCCAATTTTTCTTTACTCCATACTCGAGTTTGATAGCCATCATTGTGTTGACTACCATCGTAAAATGGAAAAAAAGGGAGTGGTCACGAGAAAAACTGTTTGATCCTCCTCCTAAAGAAACAGTTTGATCACTGAAGCTACATTATGAGTTCGTGTTGGTTGTGTGCACTCTAGTCATGCAAAGGCTGGGTGTATGCTCATCGTTTCTTTATACCCTTGATGCTACATTACAAGTTAATAAAAAAATTATTTATAAAAAATGTTTTATCCATAAAAATATGTATAGAATATACACATACATGGCAGCACATTGTTTTTCTTCTTCAAAAAGGGGGTTGGACCTATGTTTGCACATAGCTAGCTGAGCAAACAATAACTTTGGTGCTTCACATGCATGCGTGCAAGTTTGGAGTAGGGCATTTTGAAGATCGAGCTTCATGGAGGCCTTAATTTTGTAAATTTCAGAATTCAAACTTTTCAGGTTAAAAAAATTCTGAAGAAAATAAACATGTATACAAGGATGTAATGTGTATGTGCGTAAAATTTCAGGATGAAATACCTTGAATTGCGAGCTGCACAAAAAAAATTCCTGGACTTTGAGGATGAACAATACATATGTTAAAAAGCCCTAGATTTGGTTTTTTTGTGTAGCTCTCATTTTAACGTATTTCGACCTGAAAATTTACACACATCTACATTATGTATCTAGGTATATGTGTATTTTTTGCAGAATTTTGAAACAGAAAATTTTGAATTTTGAATTTTTTGAATTAAGGCTTCCATGGAGCTCGGTCTCTGTTTGGAATTTTCGACAAGTTTGTTCAATTTTTACTGAATAACAACAGTTTAGGCGTAACTTGTGGTCGCCCTCTTCTTGGGCACTTCACAAGGTTGTGAAATCATTTTTTTTAACTGTCCATGTTTAGATATACATTAAAATTTTATTGTATAATTCCTTTAGGTGGGTATGGGTTTACAAGCAGTACTCAAACTAGGATACTGAGGGGCGGCTAGAGCAAAAATATAAACATGCACTGTTTATATGATTATTAGCAGCAACTCCA